GTCAGTTCTCCTCCAGACTTCATCCCCATCATAGGGTGAGCCAGAGGGTGAGAGTGATGGATCCTCCCTGCGTTCACGCCCACCACCAACACACTTCCTAGCAGACATGACGCTCATGACGCCCCTCAGGACACTGGGTTGTGCATCATTTCATGGGCATTAGCTGGCGTGCGTTATGCAGAAGTTAGGCTGTCGTTGGACAGAAGTTCTGGAGTCATCATGAATACTCTATCTATACGCCCAGAATAGAAAAAATCCATGGAAAGTTGAGCGTATGGCAGCGTTTTAGGAGATTCTGGGACGTCAGGCAGACGCTGGATAAATCAGCACGGTGTGACAGGAACCTAAAGAGCTGATCCTGTACATTTAGACCAGGCATGTCCAAAGTCTGTCCTGTAGGGGCCGCTGTTCTGCAGGCTTTAGAGGTTTCTCTGCTTCGACGTGGCTGATAGGGATTATTACAGTTCAGCATAAGTCTGTTGATCAGCCGTCAATGGAAACCAGCTGTGCTGAAAAAAGGAAAACCTTTGGACATGCCTGGTTTAGGCAGAACAGTAGCATCTCTCTTCTGTGTGGCTTGTAGTGAAATATCTCTTTCATTTGCTGGACAGGAACCATATTTGCGTACGGTCAGACCTCTTCAGGGAAGACCTTCACCATGATGGGCTGTGATAGCAATCCTGGAGTCATTCCTTTGGCTGTAGATGATGTCTTCCAAACTATTAAAAATGTAAGTAGTGTGTATCTCAGTGGAACCCTCCCTCATGTGATCGTATGTTTTGCCCTGATGGGCCACATTACTAATTAAAATTATGGATTTACTGTCCAGTCCTAATGGATTTCCTTCTTCTTTCAAGTTTCCCAAAAAAGAATTCCTTCTGCGAGTGTCTTACATGGAGATCTACAATGAAACTGTGACTGATCTGCTGGTGGATAGCCGGAAGAGAAAGCCTTTGGAAGTTCGGGAAACAATCAATGTAAGTCAGCGTCAGCTTTACTTATAAAGCCTTCTACTAGCAAAAGGAGCAGAACAACAGAATATTAGTTTTATCCCATTGCTCCTTCAATGTTTGAGAATTAAAAAAAATATTAAAAGGCTTGAAAGCTTTGTTCAGTGCTGCTTATTGAGGTTTGATAGCAAACACCTGCTCTCCTGCTCCTGTTTATAGTTTTCAAAGTATCCGATGAGAACATTGGAGCTCAACTGTAGCTCACCAGAGACACTAAATCTAAATATTGGGTTTATTTGATATGAATTTGGTGATAAACACTAGAAATGCAGTCGTGTGAACAAACTATTCAACTATAGAGTCAAGTTAAATAAACAGGGATCTATGGATTTCACTCCGTCGGCATTTTTGCCAAGTAAAAAGAGAAGAAGCTGACCACTACAGCCCTCTCAGTATAATGTTTAGATCTACATGGTGTTCATCTGTTAATGATTACAACCCTGACTGTGATGGCGTCCACATATCGTTAGCCAAACCAATGCAGGCATTGAAATGAACACAATGCTCAGAAATAGTGCTGCACGATTTGATGAAAATGTGCGATTGCTATTATTGTGGACTACATTGCGACTTGCAGTTCCTATATTAGAACTAAATGGTGTCATGGGTAGTCCTTCTTGAATAACTGGGGCAGGACAGAGAATTTAGCCTCTCTTTGCTTCCAGCTACGGGAAAAGCTGCACAGATGCTCCCTGCATGCTCCAATAGCCCTGTGGCTTCACTGAGCCTCACATTTGACAGCATTTCCTGTCATATTGCTGTGTTTTAATGGTTTTACTGGACATATTGTTTCATGTTGCATTTTGTCAAATTTGTAATTTTGTCTAACTTCTTACTGATCAGCCAGCCAAACCTTTTTTACCTCCTTTTTCTTTTTTCCCAGCACGGTTTGAGTCCCCGATGTTGGCTGATCTGGTTCAATGCTCCACTTTTAATATTTTTATTAGTGAGCTATTCTTATTTAAAAAGAGTTAAGCCTCTAAGCTACATGTAGAGTTTACCTTAGAGGCTTATAGTAAATTGTATGTTGTTTTATATCCTGGAATATAAATGAACACTGTAGGGTGACAACATGAATGAGAAATCAAGAAGGGAACAAACACTTCCTCACTATTATTTGACTTTTAACATTAGCAACTGAGTTTGAATTTGTTATATTTGATTTCTTCCTTTATATTATGTTCTTTTTTTACATGTTTTAGGCTGCAGCTGTGTGCAACACTTTGTTTCAGCAGTTTTTTATTTTTATTTTAAAGCCCTGTATTGATAAAGTGATTTAATGGTGGCCCTGTAGAGATCAGTGCGGGTTTGTGTTGATTGTGCAGAAAACCATCTACGTGGCCGACCTGACGGAGGAGCTGGTTACTACTTCAAAGCAAGCCCTGGCCTGGATCAAGAAAGGAGAGAGTAGGAGCTCATGTTTGCTGCATTGCTGCTCAGGCAGCCTGTGCTGCTAACGGCGTGTTAGCACAGCCTTATTCTGCATCATGTGTCTCTGCAGAGAACCGCCATTATGGGAAGACTAAGATGAACCAGCGCAGCAGTCGCTCACACACCATATTCCGTATGGTGAGGATCAGCTCCATATGTAATGAAACATGGAGAGTTTGGGACTGATTTCTGACTTTCTAACTCATTCATCTAGATATTGGAGAGCAGGGAAAGGAGTGATCCGGCGTCAGGGGAAAACGCCGATGGAGCCATTATCGTTTCCCATTTAGTAAGCTGTTGTTTTCCTTTTCTCTTTCTGAAGTCTTTAAAGTTGGTAAAGCAGAGTTAAATTTGTCTTTTAGAACTTGGTGGATCTAGCTGGATCAGAAAGAGCCAGCCAAACGGAGACGGAAGGTAGAGCACCAACTTTAACCTCACATTCCACCATTACACACATATTGGGAGTTTACTCCTTTAAAACTGTATTTATTCCATAGGTACTCGTTTTAAAGAAGGCTGTAACATCAATCTGAGTTTGTTCACACTTGGACAGGTGATCAAGAAACTCACCGATGAAAGCCAGAAGTGAGTAACGGTGAATGTTCAGAGAAAAAGAAACAAACTCTAAACTCACTATAAACCAGCTAATTCTTCATCTTTGCAGAATTAGGCTTTAGTTTTCTTTATTTTTAGTTAATATATATCAAATTATAGGAAGAAAACGGTTCTGATTTTTGTATTTTTAGATTAGTAAAAAAAAATGTAATTCAAATACAGTAAGGTAGATAAATTGAGCAGAGTTCTGCTTTAGAGTTAAATACAATCATAACTGTTTCCTTTTCTCAGTCATCAGACATTAAATTCTTGAGTGAACTGATTGACTTGTTTTGCTGAATGTCTTCCAGGGGTTTTACCAACTACAGAGATAGCAAACTGACCCGCATCCTGCAGAACTCGTTAGGAGGCAACGCTAAAACCGTCATCATCAGCACCATCACTCCTGTGTGTCTAGATGAGACCCTCAGCACCCTGCAGGTTAGTTATGCTGGACGTCTTTATAAACCTGCTGGAGGCGCCGCTCCCTCTCTGGTCATATCCTGTCCACCATCGGTTGTCCACGGGACAGTTCAATACAGGCTTCTGACACAAACAGTTAAACTTTTTATAGTTAAACTAAAGCGATCAATAAAGGTTTCATCAACTGCTCCTGACTTAGAGGAGAGTCTGCAGCCGCTTTCATTCCATCCAGCCCTCCAATATTATATCAATTTCAACCAGTTCCACTCAAATCATCTTTTAGTTTTTCATCCTTGGTGCGTTCTCTCTCACAGCCTGCTTTAAAGATAAAAACTCTCATTTTATCATCAATCATATTTCTGGGAGATGCGTGACCTGGGGGCCCATTTGGTGCTGTTGCTCCGTGTGTGTTGAGCCCATTGAGTTGTTTTTATCACCACCTTTTTACCTTCTCTCTTTATCATCCAAAACTGAAGTTTTAAGTTTTTTTTTTTTTCAAGGTTATTTTATTATTTTTGTTAGGTCTACCCAATGTCACATGTTCTGTTTTTTTTCTCTATTAACTAAATGGATCCATCAATTTTCCGTCATGCTTAGCCTAAGCAGGGTCTCAAGGGGTGCTGGTGTTTATCTCCAGCTCTCTACGGGCGAGAGGCGGGGTCCACCCTGGACTCCATCCAGTCCATCGCAGGGCGACATAGAGACAAACAAAAACAAACAGGACAGTGGGGAGTCTTCAGTTAGCAGAGGCCTGCTGAATGAGACCAATGAAATGCCGTCTGCTCCAGGAAACTGACGGGAGGTTTGATGTTCGCTCCTCAAAGGCTACGTTTACGCTGCTGGTCTGTTCAGGTGACCTGCATGCAGAAAAACAATAACGACACATGTCAGAAGTCGGTGTGTCTGGGTGGATTTAAAGCTTCAGAAAAGGAGACGGAGTGCTGAACTATTAATGGCGGCTTTTGGAGGAGCAGTCGCAGCGAAATGCATTTCTCTGAGGAAATGAGTGGCTGCCGCTTCAGTCAACTGACTTGTTTTAGTGAGACCCCTGAAGACTCTGCTGGGTCGCTGTATCCACTCAAATACTTAACTCCAAAATCTCATTGTCTATCCACTGTGCTCCTCCAACCACGCCGTCATCCATGTGACATCATCGCCACACAAATTCCTTATTGGGGTCACTTTGCCGTTCAAACCGCAGTCTGATCCAAAAGGTCCAACTGGTATCAGCTTAAAACCACTTACTAATGTGACCCAGATGGGGTTTGAAAAAGTCCGATTCTTGGTCTGGTCTCACAGTCAGGACAGAATCTCAGCTGAAGCACTTCAGGCCCAATAAATCGGATTTAGGCCACATTGGTCTGCAGTGGGAACGGGACCAAGATTAAAGGAGCTGATTAATTGGAAAATATGTAGGGTTCCTTTTTATGTCTTCTGAAGTGCTTCAAACCTTACTATGATGCCTGTTCATGCAGTTGGTCTGTTTTTTTTTATTAAAAGTGTTCTTTGCTGACTCTGTGCATAGATCTAGGAATCCTAGAAATGTCCTATGACATGTCCATATCATTTTATTTAACCCACTTAGTTTTTAGACTCTTTTTAAAGGAGAAATTCATTCAGCCCTACAATGAGTTTTCTAACAAGTTATAAATGTGTTTTAATAGTTTGCCAGCACTGCCAAGAAAATGAAGAATGATCCTCATGTGACGGAGGTATCGGACGATGGGGCGTTGCTCAAGAGGTACCGCAATGAGATCGTAGACCTTAAACGTCGACTCCATGAGGTGAGTGTTGGGCTGACAGAACCAGGAACTCTGGGTTTGACCTCTATGGAGTCATGGAGGGGTCAAAATGTTTAACGTCTAAATCTTAGTTAAAACAGAAAAAAGAGAAGTTGATATTTAATGTATTTGAGAAACTAAAAAAGCAAACGTAAGATAAAAATTGAATCTAAATTCTGTTTAGTATTTTAATTAAGCTTTTTCTTTTTATTTATCATATTTTTTGAAGTTGTAGATTTTATATTTTCAGATTCAAATCCATTTTTTTCCATTTCTATTTTTTTTTTTTACTTTCAAACTCCCTTTTCAGTTTCAGGAGTTTCTTTCAAGCTGAGGGGAAGAATGTAGATTACATTCTTATTATTTTATGTTTGCTTTTTACTTTCTCAGATTATAAGATAAAAATTTGACATTAATTATCAGTTTCAACTTTAGATGTATACGTTTGCAAACCTTTTTGACCCCTTTCTGACTCCATACTTGTCGGATTGTTTTCTCCGGATCAACATGTTTGCACATTTCTTCCAGGTGTCTTCAGTCACTCAGACCACAGCAACAGAGAAAGAGGTTCTTTCTCAGTTGCTCCAAGAAAAAGAGCAGCTCCAGAGAGAACAAGAAGATCGAATCAGAAACCTAACTGAGCTGCTGGTCACCGGTTCCAAACTGGTCTATTTACCAAAGGTAACGCTCCCCCCCCCTCTGGGCAGATTAGCCTGCATGTCCACTTCCCCATCTATAGGGAGGGATCAGAGCCAGGTTTAGTTTTTTCCATAATTGTTTTATTACACATGGAGTGTATTAACCCTAGTGCTCACCTCTATCAGTTAGAACTGAGAAAGCCTCTAGGATGAGAGGGATCAATTCTATTCAGTTTATTTCTATAGCGCCAATAAACAACACATGTCATCTCAAGGCACTTTCCAGTTCACCAGATCATCCAGTCTGATTGATTTAACTTTTCTATCTAAGGAAAAATAGTTGATTGTATCAACTCGAAGGCAATCCTCGAAGGTTTGAAGGTGTGAAGGTTCCTGGAGGTTTCTTCCTTTTTACAGGAAGAAACCTCCAGCAGAACCAGGCTCAGTGTCAACCAGCTGGATGTGTGTCCAGGAAACACACAGCCAGGCAGACGAGCTCCGAGCCAGCTCCCATGTCAGAGGGTGAAGAGAGCACATCCAGTTAGTCACAGTCAGAGAAACAGGACTACACTGAAAAACAGGCCGATCTCCAACATCTAGAACCAAAGGTGTTGATGGCAGCAGCACAGCTGATATTTCTCTCCAGGATGGAGTCACAGCCAAACAGGAACAGACCAGATGAAGCTACTATGAGAAAAAGCAGAGAGAGCAGAACGTTAGAGATTGAACTAACAGATTCTGCAGAGTGGGAGAATAGAGATAGAATGATGAAATAGGGGTCCCTATGTCCTCCAGCAGTCTAAGCCTTTAGCAGCAGAACTATAGAGATAGCTCAGGATAACCTGAGCCACTCTAACTATAAGCTTTATCAAAAAGGAAAGTTTTAAGCCTAGCCTTAAAAGTAGACAGGGTGAGGAGAAAGGTTTTCTAGAAAACTCCACCTCCAGTTGCCTAAACATTGAAGTTTTCACCAGGAGAAGCTTCAGAGACCTTTGCTCTTTGTTCTGTGCTTAGCTCCCTAAACGCAGGATGACCTGGGGAGGAAAGATGCTCAAACTTGCCAATCCCTCTGCCTGTGATGATGACGAGGATGACGACGGCCCGTCTCACATGAACATGAGCTTAAGCCGCAAGAGGAAAGCTGATCGCCTCTCTTCCCTGAATCAATGTAAAGCCACTGAGAAGTAAGACACTCCTATGATTTGTGAATCGTTTTTTAATGGTTTGCTCTTCTGTAGCATCGGATGAGGACTTCTTTTCCCACTCTGAGATTCCTGAGGAGCCATCAGAGGAAATGGAGATGAGTCAGAGCTCTGTGACTGTTCGCAGCTCTGGAGGAAGGTCTGTTTCAGGGGTTTTCTTTAAGTCGGGTCACAAAGCTGCCTCTCATAACCACACACCTTTTATCTTTGCTTTTCAGCGACAGATTCCCACAGTCCTCTGATCAGACGTGTCAACTTTCAGCCAAAATCTCTAATCTGGAGTTGCAACTTGAAATTGAGAGTCAACAGAGAGAGGAGGCCGTAAGAAAGGCAGAAATGATGGAAGGTCGAGAAGCAGAGCTGCAGCTGCAGACCCAGTCAGAGGCTTTGCAGAAACAACAGGCTGTAGAGAAAATACAGGCAACAGAACTGAGGCTATCTGAAGTGGAGTCGCTGCTGCAGAATGAAGTCCGAGAGAAGCAAGAGGCTTTGGAGAAGATGCAGACACTGGAGCAGCAGTTTGAAGAGCTGAAAACGCAGCTGCAAAGTGAAACGGAGCAAAAGATGGACGCCTTGTGGAAACTGGAAGCATCAGAGCAGAATGTTGCTGAGCTGAAGAAGGCTCTGGAAACGGAAGCTGAGAAGAAACTGGAAACCAGTGTCAACATGGACTCCAGCGGTTCAGACCTAAGCAGCGAGCAGCAGACTTCTGAATTACAGCAGGTAGCCTCACTTCTCCTCTTAGATGGTTGGCTGGAACCAGACAGCAGACAATAAAGCCCCATTTACTCTACCGTTTGAAACCGTGCTGAGATCGGTCCGAGCATGGTAACCATGGTAACTGTTGAGTGTAAATGGCACACACAACTGAACCGGACCGTGCCAGACACAACCGAGCCGCTCTAAACTGGTACTAGTTCATCAGTAGGGCTCAGCCTGGTTCAGTTCTGGATCAGTTCTCTGATAACAAAGAGCGCATGAGCAGATCGCCTCATCTCCTTACAGTCAGCCTCTGTAATCCGGACATTTCAGACATTCATAGAAATCCTAGCTTCCTACTGTGCCACATGATTTCCAATAATGCTTAGCAGTGTGATGAACCTCAACATCTGTTGTTGTTTCCTGCGTCTGGAAGCCCTGATTAGACTATAGTTTGTCGTATCCACTTCCCAAAAGCTGATTCTGGCAAGTAAATTCACCAAAGGCTGCCTTCTTCTCCTGACTCTCAGTAGTACCGTAGATCGCCACTAGGAGGCGAGGAACTGCTAGCGCGGTGTGTAAACGGTTGTAGGGAACCAAGCTCAGCACGGTTAACTGATCCAAGCTGGGTCAGAACTCGGCACGGATCGGTAGTGGAGATGGGGCTTAATAGTTTTGTTTCTATAAATGTAGAGTTTTCTCTTCACTGCATATGCCCTGTCTTCCAGATGAGGAAAGACTTTGCAGAGAGCCTTCAGCTGTGTGAAAGCTTGGCCCTAGAGAAGGTAAGAGTTGCTGCTGGGGGGTAACTTTCCATTTTAGAAAAACAGCACAAAACGAGAGAGCTGCTATTAACTAAGACATTAGTTCCTCCTGTGGAAGTTTGACAATTGATCCAACTGCTCCCATAGATGATGTTTATAGTGCCTGCCCCTCTTCACATTTTCTATTTGCTTACAAGTGACTACAGTGTTTGGTTAGGAGAGGAAATGCTGGATCTATGAAAGCTTTCCCAGGACAGACCAGGAGGCCACCTCTCTGGCCGCATTAGAAAGATTTCCCTATCAGGAAACGGGTGTGATGCTGTAGCTACTGTGGGTCCAATCCTAGACAGATGCTGTTTAGTCATTTGATGTAAAATGAAAAAGTTTATTCCAACATTTCCAATGACTTGAAACATGTGTTCCCCAGGAAAAAGTGATTGCTGAGCGAGACTATCTGAAGAAGGAGCTGGGGATGTTCCTGGAGCACACTGAGAGTTTAGAAAAGGAGAAGTCTGCTCTCTGTCAGGAGCTGAAGGAGAAGAAGGAGATGGATGAGTTCCTCAGTCTGGAGGATAAATTCACAAAGGAACATGAGGTACATTTATTTTTACTGCTTTTACGTCAAGCAAGCGAGGAAAACCTTCCTCCCAGCTGGCTCTGTTTGAAGAAAAGATTCCTTCTAATAAAAAGTTTCTATTTTTACTGCTTATTTGCAGAATGAATTAAAAAAAGAAATATCTGCTTTAAAGAGGGAAATTGAATCCTATGAACATCGATGCCTGGATCTGCAGGTAATGTTTGTTTTTTCTTTATTTTTGAGGTGTCACCTTAAAGCAGGTAGAGAGTTATCCGCTAAATTTCATGTTAATCTAATAGCAGCTGTGTGATTACTAGAGGTTTCCTATATGAGAAACATCAAGAACATCACTTCCTGCTGTTTGGTTAAAATCTAGGACTGAAACGATTAATCGTGATTAATCAATCATTAAAAAAATAATCATCAGCTAATTTAGTAATAGATTAAAAGTTAACTGGAATATAGAGATTGGATTTGCTCCGCATATCCATCTGGAAACCTTCC